CACGTCCGCGGTTGTTCAGGTCGTCGTGACGGCTCCGGAGGTCACATTCGTGAGAGAGAGAGAGAGAGAGAGAGAGAGAGAGAGAGAGAGAGAGAGAGAGATCCAGCAGAGCAGTACGCGAGGAGAGGTAAGCAACTCATTCCTCTTTTCCTTTTTATATTTCTTCTTGCTTCTTTTATTTTTTCTTCTTCTTGTTTATTCTTCAACTTCTTCTTCTTCCTTCTTTTCTTTTTCTTCTCTCCTCTTTGTCTTTTTTTCTTCTTCTTCTTTATCCTTTGTCTTTTTTATCTTCATTTTTTCTTCTTCTTTCTTCTTTTTCTTCCTCTTCTTTCTTCTTTATCTTCTTTTGTTTTCGTCTTCTTTATTCTTTCTCTTTGTCTTCCTCTTCTTTGACAACCTTTTCTTTCTTTTTTCTCTTCTTCTTCTTTCTCCTCTTTGTCTTCCTCTTCTTTTTCTTTCTTCTTTATCTTTTTTTTTTTTTCTTCTTTATTCTTTCTCTTTGTCTTCCTCTTCTTTCTTCTTTGACTACCTCTTCTTTCTTCTTTCTCTTCTTCTTCTTTCTCCTCTCTCATCTTCTTCTTGTTTATGGTCGCACACAGAGAGAGAGAGAGAGAGAGAGAGAGAGAAAGATGCAGGCATGGACTAGACCGCGGCGGTTGAATAGCGGACCGAGGCGACGTCGGTCTGCACCGCGGCGGGCACGTCGACAACCGCGAAGACCGGCGCAGGGTCCGTGCCCCTGAGCTTTATACCATCGCCAGACGTTTGATGTACACGTGGGTATGCGCCTCTCCTACGGAGTGGAACTGGGCGTTGTATGAGCGTATCCACGAGAAGCGCCACAACGGGTTGGACTTTACGAAGGTGACTGAAATGGTGGAGATATGCGCGAACAAGAAGCTCCTGGCGTGTAGACAGAGGAGGAGGGGACTTGTCCTGCCGTGGGGTGATCTTGAGGAGGGGTTGGACGACGTCCCGGAGCCGCGCAGATCAGGTACTCTGATGTCGGGGTCATTGACGGACGAGGAGATCGAGCGTCAGGCGCGCAGGATGTTGTGTGCCTCGACGGTTCACCACCCCCCTGCGGTTCTGACTGTGTTTGTTCGTCGTGCAACTCATATCGAGCTGTACGACGAGGAAATTGAGTACGATCCACTCACGGACCCGCATGCTGCAGACGAGATGGAGGCAGAGCCGTGGACGGACCCAGAGGACTTGGAGCAGAGAGGCAGTGACACACCTGATGCTGGTGACGAGTCCAACGTAGAGAGTGATCATGAGGCTGCCAGTGATGTGCGTTCGCGAGATCGACAAAGCCATTGTGATCCTGATCGCATGACCCCTCCCTTGACTAGGAGTGGGACGGCGAGAGGGTGCAAGCAGACACAGGTTGTGCGATCGTCGAGCGAGGACGAGGGAGGTGACGACGAAGCTACGGCCGATGATGAGGACTCCGACGTCGAGAGAGAGGGACACGACCAGGACAGAGGAGATGGGGACGAGCATGGATTCGACGGCGGTGACGATAGTGGGCCGTTTGAGGACGGAGCGGGTGGCGCTTTCCTTGTTACTCCTGGCCCCAGTGCAGTGGGCGGGGGCAGTAGTGGCGGGCAAGGATTTGGTTTAGAGGTACCGCACGGATTGATTCCCACTGGCATTTTCAGTGACGGCTTCGACCTTGGACATCCACCCACTTCAGATGCTCGGCAAGGCGGGGTGCGTGTTCAGACACCGGTGAGCGAAGTCGCACACCTCATAGGGTCGGTTTTTTGTGGTGCTAGTTCGGGGTTGTTGACAGAGGCTGGCAGAGCGTCAGGCGAGATACATGAGTGCATGACTGGTGACGACATCGGTTGTGTTGCCAGGAGGCTAGATATGGACCCCGAGGATGTGCTTGAGGAAGAACGTTTGGCACGGATGGTGTCGGGGTGTGCCACGACACAGCAGCTTGCGTTGGAGCAGGACACGACCAGGGCGAAGGAGATGGGGTGTACTGTAGAGGTGGTCACTGCCGCCAGACTAGCAGCAGAGTGTAGACACGATGGTCCTGCAGATGTTGCAGATGGTGGAGGACTCTGCACAGAGGGACACGTGGTGGATCGTGTAGACGACCACGAGGAGGACGCGAGGGTAGGGTTGGGTGGTTTATGTGGGGCCAGCGACACGGTGTCGGGTGGCCGAAGGTCAGTCGGCCACCCGAATTACGACAAATTGACCCTTGGATTAAGTGTCTAGCGAAGGATCAACCCGCACTTTCATCAGACCTGTCGGGAAAAATTAGGGGTCGGGAGGAGACCCCTAAAATCCCCCGCGTCGAGTACTATTGAAACTGACCCTTGGAATTAACAAAATAAACGGTCGCGCGTGCCCCGTCTGGCACCTTACGTTTTCGTCCATTCCGAGGTTGTTCCTGAAACAGCCGGCCGCGGTACGGAGGCGCGGTAGTAAGCCCCGACGCATCTCTTTTACGACGTACAATTGGTGGGGAATGGGAACCTCAAATTAAATTAATTCTAATAACGAAATTAAAATTGAAAAAAAGAATTAAAAGTAATAAAAAGGGTGAGAATAACTGAATATTTGCGATTTAATTAAATCTCATCTGAATGCATTCATAATGAAACTGCTCCCCATTTTTATTGTTTCCGATAGCAGAATTAAAAGTGAGGAAAATAATTAAAAATAATAAAAGGGAGGAAAATAAAGAGATATTTGTTATTTAATTGAATTTCGTCGAAATTCATCCCTGATAAGATTATTCACGATTTTCATTAATTCAAATAACGGAATTAATAATGTACAAAATAAATAAAAATAATAAAAGAAAAGAAAATAAATGATTATTTTATTAATTGATAATTTTTTGACGAGATTTATTCTTGATGTAATTTTGCCAGAAATCATTAATTTACATTTTGTTGTAATTTTGCCAGAAATCATTAATTTACCTTTTGTCCATCAACCCGCACGAGTCCCTTGGATTTTGTTTTCCGATCCACCTGATTGTTAATCTCGCGACGGTCCGAGTGTTATTGAGTGAGAGGGGCTGATCTTTGGGTTACGGCGACATGGTGTTCGCATCGAGCATTTGTGGCTTGGCACGAAATACTACTTTGATCGGGAACGGCTGCAGGGTTGGAACAGGTACGGTGCACTGGTTCGGAACTATTATGGGGCATCTACACGGTACAGTATTCTGCATCCGGCGGGTATGGTAACGGTGCTTCTACGGTATAGAATTTCAGGCTCGGCACTAGTATGGGATTGGTATAGGCAGACGCAGTTCGAGGCAGCTATTTTATGCTGGTATGGTTACCGGTGCGACGATGGATCACCGTACCGCGACGCGGTACCAAGGGTTTGATGAACCCTGCCTGTGCACGGCCTGTCAAAGATTTAACACTAAGGCTACTGGTTAGGAGTGGTGCTGTTATCGATTCAGAACAAGTGGAGTATCTCGCAGTACCGCCTTCGACGACAACGTTTTATGGGCCCTCGACAACACTGACACTTTTTCAAAGGTCCTGATTTCTGACCGGTGGTTGGGACAGCGGTTGCGGATCGCCCCAGGCCTGTAACATGGGGCTGGAGGGGCCATAGGCCGGGTCCACTAGAGGCACCTGCTTGGTACCGAGAGGCACAAGGCAGGTAAAGATACCGTGCGCCGGGCCAAGAGCTGGTGAGGACGGCGGTCCGCATATAGGGAGGCCAGTTGACATTCGGGGGAGATTCGGCAGCGGGGCGACCAGGGAGAACTGGGCGCACTGGGCAAGCGACCGTAGCGCTCAGACACCGCTGGACAGCGACCGCAGGAGACCGCATCGAGATGGCTAGTGTCTGTCTGCATGAGCAAGCAGGCTCCAGCCATGGGCGAGATGACTGGTGTCTGTCCGCGTGAGAAAGCGGGCTCCAGCCATGGCAGACATGGCTGCTACAGCCAAGAGATCAGGATGAGGGAACTGAGGGGACCGGAAGGAACGCAGCGCACGGGCAGGCAACAACAGCGAACGCAGCGAGCGAGTGTGTCGGAACAACGACCAGGAGACTGCAGCGGAGATGATGGTGGGTCGTACCTGTTCGTGAGGCACTGTGGTTCAGTGCTGGTTACGGTAAATGGTAGTTATGGCGGCCGCTTGTGTGTGAGTGTGAAACATAGAGAGTGAGAGTGACTGTGCAGTGAGTGAGAGAGAGTGATTGTGCAGTGAGTGAGAGAGTGAGAGACTGCACAGATAGAGAGAGAGTGTGTGCAATGAGAGAGAATGAATGCACTCATTGAGAAAGAAAGTGAGTAAGAGAGAGAGAGGAAAAGAGGATCCTGTAGTGAACTAGCTGGTGAGAAAGAGAGGCCCTGGGAGGAAGCAAAGTGGGAGAAAGCAAATACAGTTGGCTCGCTCGCTGAGTGCTGGAACACTAATTAGAAATTACCTTTGAATACAACAGCTGCTAATCACACAGCTGGCTTGCGAAATGCTGGTCCACTAATTACCTCTGAATATAACAGCTGCTGATCACACAACTGGCTCACGATGTGCTGATGCATTAATTACTTCCGAACTCACATACAACTGCTGATCACACAGTTGGATCTTCGAGTGCTGGTGCACTAACTACTTCTGAACTCAAATACAGTTGTTGTCAATGTGAGCTCACGGGGACAGGCTATGGACGAAGGGATATGGAAAATGGACAAAGAGTGCACAGACTGAGGGAAAGTGAGAGAAAGAGAGAGAGAGAAGAGAGACAGAAGAGAGAGAAAGAGAGAGAGAGAGAGAGAGAGAGAGAGAGAGAGAGAGAGAGAGAGAGAGAGAGAGAGAGAGAGAGAGAGAGAGAGAGAGAG